TTCCCTGTAAATACCAACAAACAGTGGTTTCAACCACGGTTTCTTAGGTGGTGCAGGAGTTCGTCCATCCACAGTAGCTGCTAATATCCGCCCTTTGAGGCTCTTCGGTTTGGGTAGACCATTTTAGTACCAGGTTTTGATTGTGACTCATGTGTGCTTCACTTGGTTCATGGACAACCCCTATGCATAATGGAACAAGTCAGTTTTTTTTTTTAGCAAATCCATGGACCATAGAGGACAGGAATGGTACACCCGGCCCCCAAACCTCCGAAGCACTTATCCAAGCCACCACTTGGAGGGAAGTTGATATTGTTTCATGCCTTATTTACCAAACAAGTGTTTGGACTTTTGAGGTTTTCGGCTGGCTGTCGACAAGCTGTTTTGCTGTTTTGGATTCACGTCGAAATAGCTGGAAGGCTAGCTGGCATCATTTGGTTGTCAAGGGCGATGCCCGCAATTATGAAGGGTTCCATAAAACACCCAAAGCATTGTCAGGGCACCCTTTTTGGGCTGGTTTTTCAGTTCCCAGCACCCAAAACCCATTGACTTGTGGTTCCACGTGGCAAAACAACCCCAACTAAACCAGCTAGTGGAAGCACCTCCCAAGGGGTGGCAATTGGGCAGCGTCACCCCCGGATGGCAAAATATGTTCTTTTTAGTCCATCAGATGCCAGTGATGGAGCTCGACAATCAAGAGAATCGGGCCCGGCCTTTGCTCTTTAAACCAAAATTCACCTTGAAAGCGACACCGCAATCATAGGGATGGGATCTCATTTTGGCGTCGCAGCAAGGTATGGGTGAGGGGCGCTGAGGCCCGTATGTTTTTTTTGGGTTCTCTATCAACCCCCCTGGACACAACGCCAGCCAAAACACATGGCTCACGTGTTTATGTCGGCCTTGGGTTTGTGCATCCACCTTGGATTTTTTTGTTTGTTGACAACTTGGGTCTCCCTGATTCCCTCACGATATTGGCGGATTCAACGCATGTGGCTCCTGACGGGGAATCCAACCCCCGGCCGGCAACTCAAACAGGCCAAGCCTTCCTTTTGGTTTCCGCTTTGAGGCCAAGGGGCGCAATTCGACACGCGGATCGAATTCCAGCGATCCCGCGCCCTGCGACACAAACTCGCGCAAGCCGCCCGGCGAAATCCCATCGATCCCGCGCCCTTGGTCTGAGCGCGATGGCTTTTTTCTCGCGCAGGGCACGCTGAGCAGGATCTGGTCCGCGCGTGGGGAGCCAAGGAAAGCAAGCGACCAGCAAACCCGGCTGGGTGTGGTTTTTGAAGCGCATCAAGGCTGGGGTCTCCTCCAGAAATGTGGTCTACTTGGGTAAAAACTGTGGATGGACGAAATCCTGCACCACTTTGAAACCATGGAAACCATGGGAAACCATGGTTTGTTGGTATTTGCAATCGGAGTATCATTCCATGCATTCTTACGTGGTGCAGGATTTTGTCCATCCATAGAGTGAACTCTGAAAGCATCTTCTTATACCATGGGGTTGGGACAGAAGTCAGGCCTGAGAAGGGGTTTGGCGCCCTTTGTTTAGTTGAGAAGAGGTTTTGGCACTTTGGTAGCAAACGACTGTCAAACTTCTCAAGAGTCTAGTGAGGGTGGGAAAGTTTTCGAATGACTCGTGAGGCCCTGCAGATTCTGGCAAAGGTTTGCCACAAGGTCGTTCTTCCTTGGAGGCGACATCATGGGGAGTGTCATGTTCCTAGGCGAGGAAAGCACACTGCAAGCCGCCTCTTGCCGTCACGGAAAGCTCCAGCCCAAGCTCCGGCCCAAGCTCCGGCCCAAAACTGGCCCAGGTTTCAGCTCATCTACGATGCCTCGCAGCAGGAGTGGGGGCTTGGGAGCTTCAAACGAATGATTTGCCTTTGAACCAAGTTGAAAGGGTGCCGAGCCTCAACAAGAAGAGACTCCGTTGTTCCATGTTTGACGCCAAGAAAAAATATTCACACGTGCAAAAAGGTGAGTGTACTCGCCAGGGGAGAAGGAAAGCAACAAAGATGGAACGACCATCGCGTTTACAAGCAGCACCCATGCATCCCATCACATTTTGGGCTCCCCGTGCACGGCCAGATGGGTGTGTCCAAAAACAAAGACCCGCCCGTTTGGACGGTTTTCAAGGGCGAAAGGCTTCCCCCGACTCGGATTTGAGTTGGATTTGTGTTCAATGACCAGTTTTCCTTCTGACTCCAAAATAAACCCAGGTGGTATCCCCAACAGAAAGCTGCCGCAAACCCTCGCCCTGGGCGCCCATCCCCATAGCTTTCAGCTGTCGGAGAAAAGGTCAAAAGGCACAGCCAGTGGCTCCTCCGGCTTGCCGCAGGATCATATGAGGGCACAGTACGTGCTCGGGCGGGTGGGCCCAGTGGGGGGGCCAGAAGGGCCGCCTCGAACCTTTTGGATTGGTTTGAACGTCACCGTTCGGGTCGGGGTGATGTTTAAAGGAGAAAGGGAACCCTGTCCAAAACCCAATTCCCAAGCGAATAGGGGGGGGAGGCGAGGGGAAACGGCTGGTGTTTGAAAGCAGGGTGGAAACGGTGGAAACGGTTCATGTGGAGATGGCATGTTCACTGTGCCTTTGGAGCCTTTCACATTGGCGTCTTCAGCTCTGATCTTTTCTTTCTAAACCTGACGGCTTTGAGTGGGAGCGAGACTTTCCCTTGAACCCATGGGGGCCGGGAAGCCCGAAGGAAGTTGTTTCAACCAGAGTGGTTTGCAGAGGAATCCTTGGGACGGGGTTTTTCTGGTTGGATTTTGAGAGTTCCATGGAGTTTAAACCGTGGCAACCAGGGCCGCGCTTGAAAATTTACTGGGCCTCGACGAGGGCTTGGTTTCACCCCCCCCCCCCCACCGCTACAAACGAAAACCTGCGTGGCCCTTGTTGCCTACTGGCCGTCAAGTGCTATCAACCATTTTGAGGGTCTCCATCTTGAGCACCTATTTTGAAGGCAAATCACAGGGACACTTTTTTTTTTTTTTGGAAGCCACCGCCAGTTGCTGCCGCCCCGCTGACGCGCAGATGCGCGTCGCGAGGCTCATGCTGATCCGCGGGGAGGGCTGTGAGGAGGATGTGGACCTCGGGGTGAGCTTTGTGCTGATGGCGGCGGAGGCGGATTGGCGGATTGCGCGGATTGCGCGGAGTTTCGGTTTTCGGGTGAGGTGAGTGGGGGGTGGTGTGGGGGTGTTTGCCTTCACCGGATCCCCCGAAAATGGTGTTTGTTTTTCCCTCTTTGTGTCCATGTAAAACGGCAAGAAAGCAGGGTAGCCTCAAAACAAAAGACGGACTCTTCTTGGGTGGTTGTAGAGGGAAGCCAGAGGGCTCGCAAGGTCCGTTTTGCCCCACTTGCTCAATTCCAGCCTGTGTTGATCTTGGCCAGGAATGAAGGGCGTTTCTGCGATGGGACACTTTGGTGAAGAATTCGTCATTGAGAAGGAGGTCTTCCAGTGGATTCGCGGAGTTGTTTTTTTCTCCACAGCCCTGATGTTGGCTTCACGTTTTGCCTTTTCACTCAAGGAGGTTCGCCTTTTGGCCAAACAGGCGAGGTTTCGGAAAGCTGACTGCTTTCCAGAAGTTGGCGGATGTCTCGGTGCAGCCTTTGAGGGGGAATATGGCAAGGTGCATGTAGTGGCATGCTTGGTTCTGAGGTTGTTCCGTGGGTGTTTGGCTCCAGCATCTCGAGCTGAACCTCGTGCCAGATCGCAGCTCCCGCGTCAGTTGGCACTTCAGCAGCATGGGCATGCTCTTCAGCAAGGTGTGGCAGCGGATGTTGGGCTCCAAGGACATGCGCATCCTGATGCTTGGCCTGGACGCAGCGGGCAAGACCACGATCCTGTACAGGCTGAAACTCGCAGAAGTGGTAACGACCATTCCGACGGTCGCCCAGTTGTGCAGTGGCACCTTTTTGCTCTCTGATCTTTTATCAGCTGGTTCACTAAAACTGTGCACAAAAACAAATAGCAACAAACCATTTGCTCCTTTTGCGCTTTCGGCAACTAAGCGACTGAGGTCGGGTTCAACGTGGAGGAAGCTTAGCGAGCAAGCTGCAACTTGTGTTTTCCTCCAATTGCCTTATTTTCAGCAAGGTTGCTTGGGTGTTGGCAGAGTTTTGAGCATTGCAATCTTTGACCCCCTTTTCGTCGGTCCTTTCCAAGCGAGGAAGTGGAGTACAAGAACATCAGATTTACTGTCTGGGACGTGGGTGGTGGCTTGTCGAAATTGCTTGCGCAATTGAGAGTTGTGACCTTGGCGATTTGTGTGGAGTGTATCTGTCTTTCCCAGCCAGTTTCTGCCGCGCCTTGTTTTTGCCGAGGCCAGGACAAGATCAGGAAGCTGTGGCGGCACTACTTCCGGGGCACGGACGGGCTGATCTACGTGGTGGACAGCTCGGACCGAGAACGCATCCAGGACGCAAAGGAAGAGTTGCAGAAGATGTTGGCAGAACAAGAGATGGAGAATGCGGCGCTGCTGGTGCTTGCCAACAAGCAAGACTTGCCGAATGCCATGCCAGCAGCGGAGGTGATGGAAAAGCTGGAGTTGCAGAAGCTGCGGCACAGGCAGTGGTTCATCCAGTCCACCTGTGCGCCAACAGGCGATGGTCTCTACGAGGGCCTGGACTGGCTGTCCCGCACTTTGTCCTCCCGCAAGTGAAAGGAGGGGCATGGAGAGCGTGATGCAGCGTGTGGCTTTAATTTGCTGGTCGGATGGCCGGATGCTCGAGTTTTGTTGAGCATGGCAGTTTTGGGCCTATGCAGCCTCGCTGCAAGCGGGGAGGGCCCCAGTGCCAGTGCAAAGTCTCTTCCTCCGAAGCTGCCTGAGTGTACAGCTGCAAGCTTTGGACATGCAGGGAGGAGTAACTCGAATCTGACACTGCTGCTGCAACGCCGCGGCGCTGCTGTGCTGTTCCGGTGCTGTTGGCACTGCATGAGGGCTCGTGCCTTTTCCCAAAAAAGCGCGGCACTGCCCCACGCAGAAGCATTGTGTCAGGCGCATGAGCAACTGACAATGTTATTGGTAGTGTGCAGCAAGGCGGGGGTGAACCTGAAGCCCACACTTCTCACAAAGTCCTTTTGAGGAACACAGCAGTGTATGGTGTGTGGGTTACATGCCTGTTGACAATTCTGAGGCATGAAATGGCAAGGCATGTAGTGGCATGCTTGGTTCTGAGGTTGTTCCGTGGGTGTTTGGCTCCAGCATCTCGAGCCGAACCTCGTGCCAGATCGCATCTCCCGCGTCAGTTGGCACTTCAGCAGCATGGGCATGCTCTTCAGCAAGGTGTGGCAGCGGATGTTGGGCTCCAAGGACATGCGCATCCTGATGCTTGGCCTGGACGCAGCGGGCAAGACCACGATCCTGTACAGGCTGAAACTCGCAGAAGTGGTAACGACCATTCCGACGGTCGCCCAGTTGTGCAGTGGCACCTTTTGCTCTCTGATCTTTTATCAGCTGGTTCGCTAAAATCTGTGCACAAAAACACACAGCAACAAACCATTTGCTCCTTTTGCGCTTTCGGCAACTAAGCGACTGAGGTCGGGTTCAACGTGGAGGAAGCTTAGCGAGCAAGCTGCAACTTGTGTTTTCCTCCAATTGCCTTATTTTCAGCAAGGTTGCTTGGGTGTTGGCAGAGTTTTGAGCATTGCAATCTTTGACCCCCTTTTCGTCGGTCCTTTCCAAGCGAGGAAGTGGAGTACAAGAACATCAGATTTACTGTCTGGGACGTGGGTGGTGGCTTGTCGAAATTGCTTGCGCAATTGAGAGTTGTGACCTTGGCGATTTGTGTGGAGTGTATCTGTCTTTCCCAGCCAGTTTCTGCCGCGCCTTGTTTTTGCCGAGGCCAGGACAAGATCAGGAAGCTGTGGCGGCACTACTTCCGGGGGACGGACGGGCTGATCTACGTGGTGGACAGCTCGGACCGAGAACGCATCCAGGACGCAAAGGAAGAGTTGCAGAAGATGTTGGCAGAACAAGAGATGGAGAATGCGGCGCTGCTGGTGCTTGCCAACAAGCAAGACTTGCCGAATGCCATGCCAGCAGCGGAGGTGATGGAAAAGCTGGAGTTGCAGAAGCTGCGGCACAGGCAGTGGTTCATCCAGTCCACCTGTGCGCCAACAGGCGATGGTCTCTACGAGGGCCTGGACTGGCTGTCCCGCACTTTGTCCTCCCGCAAGTGAAAGGAGGGGCATGGAGAGCGTGATGCAGCGTGTGGATTTAATTTGCTGGTCGGATGGCCGGATGCTCGAGTTTTGTTGAGCGTGGCAGTTTTGGGCCTATGCAGCCTCGCTTGCAAGCGGGGAGGGCCCCAGTGCCAGTGCAAAGTCTCTTCCTCCGAAGCTGCCTGAGTGTACAGCTGCAAGCTTTGGACATGCAGGGAGGAGTAACTCGAATCTGACACTGCTGCTGCAACGCCGCGGCGCTGCTGTGCTGTTCCGGTGCTGTTGGCACTGCATGAGGGCTCGTGCCTTTTCCCAAAAAAGCGCGGCACTGCCCCACGCAGAAGCATTGTGTCAGGCGCATGAGCAACTGACAATGTTATTGGTAGTGTGCAGCAAGGCGGGGGTGAACCTGAAGCCCACACTTCTCACAAAGTCCTTTTGAGGAACACAGCAGTGTATGGTGTGTGGGTTACATGCCTGTTGACAATTCTGAGGCATGAAATGGCAAGGCATGTAGTGGCATGCTTGGTTCTGAGGTTGTTCCGTGGGTGTTTGGCTCCAGCATCTCGAGCCGAACCTCGTGCCAGATCGCATCTCCCGCGTCAGTTGGCACTTCAGCAGCATGGGCATGCTCTTCAGCAAGGTGTGGCAGCGGATGTTGGGCTCCAAGGACATGCGCATCCTGATGCTTGGCCTGGACGCAGCGGGCAAGACCACGATCCTGTACAGGCTGAAACTCGCAGAAGTGGTAACGACCATTCCGACGGTCGCCCAGTTGTGCAGTGGCACCTTTTGCTCTCTGATCTTTTATCAGCTGGTTCACTAAAAACTGTGCACAAAAACAAATAGCAACAAACCATTTACTCCTTTTGCGCTTTCGGCAACTAAGCGACTGAGGTCGGGTTCAACGTGGAGGAAGCTTAGCGAGCAAGCTGCAACTTGTGTTTTCCTCCAATTGCCTTATTTTCAGCAAGGTTGCTTGGGTGTTGGCAGAGTTTTGAGCATTGCAATCTTTGACCCCCTTTTCGTCGGTCCTTTCCAAGCGAGGAAGTGGAGTACAAGAACATCAGATTTACTGTCTGGGACGTGGGTGGTGGCTTGTCGAAATTGCTTGCGCAATTGAGAGTTGTGACCTTGGCGATTTGTGTGGAGTGTATCGGTCTTTCCCAGTTTCTGCCGCGCCTTGTTTTTGCCGAGGCCAGGACAAGATCAGGAAGCTGTGGCGGCACTATTTCCATGGCACGGACGGGCTGATCTACGTGGTGGACAGCTCGGACCGAGAACGCATCCAGGATGCAAAGGAAGAGTTGCAGAAGATGTTGGCAGAACAAGAGATGGAGAATGCGGCGCTGCTGGTGCTTGCCAACAAGCAAGACTTGCCGAATGCCATGCCAGCAGCGGAGGTGATGGAAAAGCTGGAGTTGCAGAAGCTGCGGCACAGGCAGTGGTTCATCCAGTCCACCTGTGCGCCAACAGGCGATGGTCTCTACGAGGGCCTGGACTGGCTGTCCCGCACTTTGTCCTCCCGCAAGTGAAAGGAGGGGCATGGAGAGCGTGATGCAGCGTGTGGCTTTAATTTGCTGGTCGGATGGCCGGATGCTCGAGTTTTGTTGAGCGTGGCAGTTTTGGGCCTATGCAGCCTCGCTGCAAGCGGGGAGGGCCCCAGTGCCAGTGCAAAGTCTCTTCCTCCGAAGCTGCCTGAGTGTACAGCTGCAAGCTTTGGACATGCAGGGAGGAGTAACTCGAATCTGACACTGCTGCTGCAACGCTGCGGCGATACTGTGCTGTTTCGGTGCTGTCGGCACTGCATGAGGGCTCGTGCCCTTTCCCAAAAAGCGCGGCAGACTTTGAGTGACCCAGCATGCCCCACGCAGAAGTGCACCTTGTGTCAGGCGCATGAGCAACTGACAATGTTATTGCTAGTGGGGAGGTACTTGTCCACAGAGTTTTGGGGAACACAGAATATGGTCTGTGGGTCGCATGCTTGTTGACAAACGTGAGGCATGATATTGGCAAGGAGAATGTAGTGGCATGCTGCTAAGGACCGCTAGGACTTAAGTAGTCAACTGGGTTCCCATTGGAATACTTGCCGTCCTTGGTTTTGTTCGGGTACCTTCCCTTCGCGTCGAGTGAATCAGAATCTCACTTGAGTGCCCAAAACCCCAATCGGCAGGTTTAGCAGCTTCTACTACCTTGTTTTATTTGGGTTTAGTATTCTGGCGTCCCCTCTTTAAAAAAACGACTCCGGTTTTGAACATCACGTTTTGGCCCTGAGATGAGTTTTCCTACGGACCCCATGTACCTTCCCACCAAGTAACATGGAACCTGACGTTCGGGGGGTGCTGGAAAACCATGCTCCTTCAAAGGGACCCCCGAACGTCAGGTTCCATGTGAATTGGTGGGAGGGTCTCTCACTTGGAATCCCACTGCACTCCGTTTGCCTGTTTGCCAGGAGGGGCACCCCCCAGCGCAGCACGCCATGGGCAAGCTGTACCTCACCGGTATGGTGCCAGGCTGCGGCCAGGACACGCCAGGGTGAGAGGCTTATATATATATATATTTATTTATTTATTTATTTATTGATTGATTTATTTATTTATTTATTTATTTAATGATTTATATATATATATATATGTATATCTATACAGATTCGGTTATATATGCATAGGTGTCCTTTGAGGGTATCCCCTTGTTCGTGGTTTTAAAGGAAAGCCATCAAATTGGAGGTTCCCGAAAACGACACACTGTGTGCGGGTGTCTTTTGGGGCACTGTTCCGGTGGGTTTCAAGTCCAAAGTAAAACTACAAGGGCACCCACCCTACCCTGTTGTCTCCCCCTAGTTTGAGACATACCCGGCATATGTGAGCAACGGTGAATCTTCGTCAGGGTTGCTGCTTTTTGCCTCCAACAGATCAAGCCTCAAGGCCGACGATCTGGGATGTTTGTTTTCCTTTGGTTTCTCTTCAATGCATGTAAATGTATATACATATATACAAATATAGAAATATATATGTATATATATATACACAGGTAACAAAAAAAAAACACACACACACACACAACTCAGAGTATATCATGTGATGCACATACATGTACAAATATACGTATATATATATACATACACTCGACGAGTCCGCTGCTAAAACGACTGGGGCCCTCGCTTGTCCGGAGCGATCTCGGCGCCGGAGGACAAGCTCTCGGGGGCCTATTGGCTGAAACAAGCCTTCGCCTCAAAGTCTAAGACGATCTCGACTGGCGGGCGATTGTCCTTCTCTTCCGTTTGCTTAAGTTTATATATATATATAGTTTTTTTTTTTTGCTTAGTAGGTTTTTCCTTTTCTTATTTTGGGAGGGGGGCAACCAAACGGCGCATTCCTCTAGCCTCTATACCTGTGTTTCTGTTCACCGTGTTCTTAGAACTTCCATTTGCTTCAGCATTTCTGTTGTTATTTTCCCCTTTGTTGGATTTAAATGGAATCTATCACTGCTGGACACTCTTTTTTTCAGGGGCTTAAGCAAATGGAAGACTGGGTGTCGTTTTTTGAGGCTGGCTTTTAAAGGCAAATTAAACGGAGATCACCTGATTAGAAGGGTTCCCTGAGACATACCCAAACGGTTGGGTTTCGCCATGTCCTGGAGTTTGGTGAAGCCGGGGTCGAAAAGGATTGGTTGGGTTTTTCCAACACAAAGGGAAGTTGGCAGTTTCTCACATTAGGGGACCCTCCTTTTGATGCGTAGTTAGAGGGCAACTAAAGGAGCAAACCTACTGTTGCAGACTCACTGAAACGCCCAACCCCGCCAAATCGGAGTTTGGTGAACAAGCCCCATTTCAGATGTGTCCTAGCGGCAATTTGGTGAGTGTACCGTGCCGTGAATATTCACCGTTGCCCATATGTGCCAGAGTCAAAACACCTCTCTGCCCCGGGATTGGTAGGGGTGTTCATGGGCCCCTTGTAGGGAATTGCGACACGTACGATAAGGATTCCCATTGTATGGCAAGCTTCTGGCCAAGCCTTCTTTGTTGGATGGTGTTGAAAGGGCAACTAAAAGGAAGCAACACTTCCGGGATCTCTTTTTGAACATGTTCCAAGTCAAGGTTCAGCCAGTATGGACCAGAATCTCAACTTCAGATTTTTGCCTGGGCAAAAGCTGAGGTAGACTTATATTCAGGCCCATGTTCTTCCTGCTCAAGACCAATCCGTTGGGTCGTCGCGTTGAATCCTTGCTGGGATTGGCCATTAAAAAGTGGCAGTGCTTCACAAAGCTGGCACCCAAAATGGCACCGTGGCAAATAGAAACAGACTGAAACCTGCGTAACCCTAGCTGATGGGAACTTTTGAGCCACCAGATGGTGAACACCAAAATGGGCTTTTACGACCAGCATAAATTGTGATATGTGAACATGCCGCACTGCAAGATCGCCTGGTTTAGTTTGGGGACACTGACTCTTGGGCCGACTTCATTTTTGTAAAGGATCATGGGGACCAGTTGGGCACCACCCTTAGACTACAGGAGGCGTCCTATTTTAGGGCTTCTACGACCAAGTGAGCTCCAACCAGTTGGGCTTCCAAACGAAGAGGTGTCAGGTTCCCGCGCCGAGGCTGCGGGCTGGGGGAACCTGCCAGCGCAGCTGATGCTGGGGGAGATGCTGCTCACGGGCGACTGCTTGAAGCGCCCCTTCGGCTCAAGCCGCGGGAGCGGCGCGCGGCGCGCGGAAGGGCTTGTCTTAAAATTAGGGGACCCAAAACCCCCCAAGCGGTGGACTTCCTGTTGGTTTCCATTTACCAACCCCCCCAAAATGGTACCCCTTCAAAAAACGACAGACCCATGTGTGTTTTTTCTCCAACTCTTGGCTTCTTGTTTCTTCCATTTGCTGAATATATTTTTGTTCACTGTTGCCCTGTTGGCTGTACAGGACATCTATCTCTACTGGACATACTTTCTCTCATTTTTTCCACGTACGCGCAAGGTGTAAGCTCCGGGTGTGTTTTTTGTTGTGGGGTCCCCGTGCTGAAACGGGTTGAAGGGGAGATCCCCTTCGGAGCGTCGCCATTTCGGGGGTCCGATCCACGTATTTTGACACAGGCCCGTTTGTTTTTGTTGTGTTTGCCATCCCTGAATTCTTCGTTACATGCAAGCAATGCGCAACGAAACATTGACGCTAACCCCAAAACACAAAGAGATGGGGGATCTGAAAAATACACGCATCATTGAGGAAACTCAACCACAAACCACAGACAAAGGCAAACATCAGCAACTTTTCTTGGGATGGAAAGACCAGCAAACGCCTCGCGGAAACTTTGAATTGCAACAGTGGAATGACGCGAAGATAGAAGCCAGAAGTCTACCAAGGGGGGAACACCCCCAAGCAAACCACGCAAGGCGAACTAATCATTGCCTTTAGTTTGACCCTTTGTCTCCACCGCCCTGGGCTCAAGATTCCGAGAACTTTTTGCCGGAAGGCCCATTGATGTGAATAGGGGCCGGCAATTGGTTTGTCAGCAAGCCAAAGTTGTCCTCACCAAAACTGCTCAGATGCTGGTCCATATGTAGTCAACCATAAAAAAACTAAGATGCGTTTACCAAGAAGGCTGCAAGTCTGGTGGGGGGTGTCTTCTGGTGTCGACCAAAAGGCCCATGAGGGAATCAGCATGTTGAGTGGCGCATCTGGGGCAGAATGCGTTTTTGAAGGATGGACCGAAAACCCTGCTCAAAGCCTGTGGTACCAGGGATGTGTTTGACCCTTCGTTGCAACTTCTGAGGTGTCCATTTGGAGCCCTACACGGTTGACTGCCAAAATATTGGACTTCAACCACCAAACAACTCGCACACAAGTGCATCTGGCAGAAACTTCAGCCCATTTTGAGAGAAGGCACTTTTTTCTTCGCTGGCACCGGCGTTTTTGCTCTTCCTTCTCGTGATGAGCTGGCTTCGGCTGTTGCACTCCCTTCCCTTGCTGCCCTCGTGGATGTGAAGTTTGCAGTATCCTGAAAACTGCAATCGGGTGAAACTCGTCGCAGGCACTTGCCTTGCTTATTGATCTCCGAGCGTGCCTGATGGCGGATAGCGGGTTAGGCCTTGATAATGCCAAGACATGAGCGACCACTGGGGACTCATGACGCAGGGTATTCCATGATGTTGTGACGGCGGCGTTTGTCTCTGGCTCGGGCCCTTTTCCCAATCCGTGGTTTTCTCGAAAAAGGCGGAAATGTGTGCCTTCGACAAGATTGTGTTTTTCAACAGTGTTTCTAGGTTGCCCCGTGTCGTGTATTCTCAGGGTTGGGGTGTCGAATGCCTTTCTTCCAATGATGTTCAACGAGGGGAGCTGAACTCACACCCTCGGCAATGTCGCACCCGTACTTTTTCCTGCCGGTTCAGGAACCCAACAAAGCGGAAGGGTTGATTTGAGTAATTTGGGTGTGGTTCTCAGGAACCCTTCGCACAGGCCGGTTTCCTATTCGCCGGAGGTGGGTTCCTCACTCTTTCCACAACCCCTGTCCACAGCTAGACGGAGCAGACGCGATCTGGCCGTTCCTTTGGTGTGGTGTTCCTTTGATTTGGGTGCGGCTCAAAAATCAAGACCCAGGGTTACGCAGGTTTTGATCCGCTTGCCACTTACCAGGGTTCCATTTTGGAAGCCTAGGTTTGACCTAGAGCCATTTGTGCCCTCTCGGCTCCTTCCTTGGCCCTCGTCCTCGCCGGTTGCGGTTTTTGGAGTCGTCCGAGAAGCCCAGGCAACGAGACCTTGGCGGCGGCGTACTACCTGCAAGCCTCCAAGCAGGGCTCCCCACAGGCAAAGCTCCGGGCGGGGGGGGGGGGGGCTGGTGGGGGGCGGGGGGGCAGATTTTTGGCTGGGGTCTCCTCCAAAAGTATTTTGGAAAAGGTAGACTGGATGTGGACCGGAATTGGGACATTTGTTTTAGTGCGCCCCAGATTTGGGCCAGAGGAAAGAGCTGTCTGAGCTGTTGAGTTGGGTCGAGCCATGTTGAGAGGTGCAGCAACCTGGGGCCCAGGATGAGAAACTGTCGGCCAGTTGTGCGACTCCAAATGCGGCCACTCGCGGCTCTCTAAATGCGGGACTTTGTGATTCGCCGTTTCCACGCCCTTGCCAAGGGAGGTGTGGAAAGGAAGCCTTGCCACGAGTGACTCCAACGGATTCCATTTGAGAGTGCAGCCCCTCGAGACAGGCGTTGGCTCGACATGCTTGCGTAGCACGAGAACATGATCCAAATGGTTTGGGGGTTGTCAAAGCATGACCCCTTTCGGGATTCCGTCGAATTCCGCCCTGTGCCTGCTTGTTGTCGCGGAGAATGACCAAGAACGGGCCCCTAATTTACCTGGGAGGGATTTCTGACATGGCGCTAACAGTTTGACCTTTGGCAAGGCAATCGACGCGCGGAGTTTCATGTCGGTTTCCATTTCCTTGCTGGTGCTCAGTAGGGAATGACCTTCCTGGTTTGGGGAATGAACCGGAAGGGGATAACCACCATGGATGGTTCTTCTTGGGGTCATTCCAACATCACTCCCCGCCTTTCGGGGGTCCTCCATTCTTCGCACTGAAGGCACAAGAGGTGGTGGGCCAAATGCTGCGGACGGGTACCGGCCTGGAGCAGGATGAGGCGAGTCTCCTTTTTTTTTCTCCCCCGCCAGGTGGGAGGTTGGGTGGAAACGGCGTTGTTTTTCCAGAAAGCGATCCATTGAGGCGGGTGTTGGGCGGCGAAATGGGTTGAAACAGGAAAGAAGCCAGGTAAAGGACCCTGTGATCAACCCCCATTTCTTTTTGCAAGGTCCAAACAACTGACCCCGCTTCCTCCCCGAGGATGCGGCCTTCGAGTGGCTCAACAAGGCCGCCGAGCACGGCAGCGCAGAGGCGCGCGCGGCAGGACACCGCTGGAAGCTTCGCGCAGGTCAGCAGGTTTTGCCCCCTTTTTTTTCTCCCGGTTCCGCCCTTGGATTGCACCAGGGAAATGGCAAGAATCACCCTCAGTCTGGACAATGTCCACCTGAGGCCTGACTATTTTGAGCTATTTCTGGTGGAATCACAGGGTGTAGAAATACCCTTCGAGTAAAGGGGGCAATGAGCAGGCAGTCTTGGAAATCTTCCAGATAGGCAACTTGTGACCAAAAGAAGTAAGCCGCAGCAGCAATCTGCGTGTTTTTTTGTAACGAGACCCCTGTGGCTTGGGGGGCAAAGGAGATTGGACATAAGAAGCACAGATCCAAGTCCTGTGTTTCGAACCCCACACTTTTTGTGACCTCCTTTTTGCCTTTTGGTAGGGCCAAGAAAATAGCAACGGTCAATGGCATACGTGCAGGTTTGTTTGGGAACTGGTGAGTTTGCAGTTTCCCCCCAGTTGCTTTGCGAGGGAAATGGCAATGACAGCCCTCCTGTTAAGTCGCAAAGGAAATGGCAATGACAAGGTCAGTGTGCTTTTTTGTGGCACTGCAAGGACATGGAAGTTTCGAAATCAGGACATCCACCAATCCCAGCAGATGCAGCCCAGCGCTATATCACCCTATACAGCTCAGAATGCAAATAAAGTGTTCTCGCCACGAGAGGGCCGCGGCATGAGGGATGTTTCACACTATGCAAGCGGATCCAGTTGCCACGGATAAAGATGTTTGCCCCTTTGATGCTTCCCCCGTAGAAGCCATCTGCGGGCTCCTGTTGCATGTTGACCATGCCCACAAGTTGTTTCAAAATGCTTTGGCGCCATGCTCAAGCCGCTGCGTTCCCGGAGCCGCTTTTCGGTTCCCACCAGGTGCTTGAGACTGTCCCCCCAACGCGGCGATCGCCATGGCTCCTTTGGATCGCCCCATTCGCATCGGCACCGACTGCTCCGGCATGGAGACGCCAGTGATGGCGCTCAGGGCGCTCAAGGAGCGGGACGGTGTTTGGCAGGGAGCGGCGATCCGAATCTTGCACGGGGGCCCTCCAAAATGTTGCACACTGGCCTTAGACTTTTTTTCTTGGCAAGGGATGAACGAACAGCTGACCTGGCAAATCATAGGCAACTCAGAAAAGGGTTTGGTTTGCGACCTTGGGCCCCAGGAAGATTGCTTTCTTAGGGACCTCCTATTTCAGGTTGGGATATACTGATTCACACAGATCTATTCCAAGGCCAGGTCAAGCTGAGGGCAAAACTGTTCGGCGGTCTTTTTTCCCTTTCATCGCTTCCCTTTGCGACCTGCCTGAAAGGCCAGAAGACAAGTCCAGCCAGGATTTCCGCATCAGGGTCTCCCCTCACCTGTGGTATCTGGGATCCCCGCATCATTCCTGGAAGACACATTGCATGGCAACCCGACTGCTGACAGCCCGTTCCAATGCGCCAGGAGGAATGTTGTGAAGTTCTGAGCTAGTACAGGTTGACCGGGGATGATCCCAAATAAACTATTGTGCGATCCAGCAGTTGCCGTCCTTTGTACTGTACTTGTGAGGTACTTTCTATGGTAGGGAACTATGCTAGCGCGTCTTAGGTGAGCTTCTGATTCTTAGTTCACCCGGGGTCAGTCCCTTAGATCCCAAGGGGGGAACCCGGGGGGATGAGTTTCACCGCTTCCTCGCAAACCGGGGGTCTTTGCTTTCAGACAGGATCCTACCCTGAACCCTCTCTCCCCATGTCCCATGGGCCAATGGGTGTGTACTTGTTTGGGGACCTTCTGGACATCGTTCGAATACACCTTGAAGCCTCAGCGCCCAGTAGTTCCAAGGAGCACAAGCCTTTGCAGCTGACGGAGGTTTTAGTCTTTTCTGTTTTCTTAACGCGTATTATATAAACATATCTTCATGCAACCCGTGTAAGCCAAGAATCGACACATGTGGGCCATAAAGCACCTGGAAACAGGTGGGGAACGACACACGCCCCTTCTCAGCCAAGGATTGCCGAGGGGGGGAAGCGATTCTGGGTCCTCATATTTTCAGTGTCCGGGATTTGGCTGTCATTGTTTCCCAGCCCAAGAAAGATGTCAGACAACTTCGCAAGTTTCCCCATGCCCGTAGAGAGTCAAGAGAGAATGAGCGACTGGTCTGCGGCCCTGGGTCAGGTGGAGTACGAGCACATGTTCTCCTGCGACATCGAGAAGTCCGTGAAAGAGCAGATCTTAGCCAACTTCCCGCCCAAGGCGAGAATCCAACCAGAACAGGTGGGATTCCTGCTGGTTATCCTTGAAAACTGCTGTTGAAACCCTCAGAAAGGACACCCAGATCAAAAGGAGGGGTTGCACAAGTTGGTTTCAACCAATCAGGCCCTGCTTCGCCGTGGTGGTTGGCTTGTGAAGGGGGTGAAGGGAGGCCTAAACGCAAGAAGCCCTACTTGTGGGCCTTGCAACCCCCGAAAAAAAGGCACCAAGTGGTACCCCTTTAAAGGGAAACCAAAAGGAGGTTGTGAAAACAAATTTGGTGGTTTTCCCCTATGTTTTAACAAGGTCACGGAGACGTTAGCCACCTTTTTTCATACGCCGCTTCGGTTTGCCGCCTTCAAGACTTTTGGCACTTCTAGCCAGTGGCCTACTCCAGCATTATTTCTGAATTGAAAGCTGTATGTCCACTGCCACTGCCACACATGCGGGTTCAGCACGCCAGACTTAACACTTTTGGTGCTTAGTTGCTTGGCCATGAAACTGGTTGATGCGGCGACGAGAACGCAACACAACTGAGCAAACACATGGATAAGCGCTCTGCTTCTGTCAAAAGAAAGAGGCCCTGCGCGCCAAGCCTACACGAACACCGACGCGTGGCAAGAAGGGCGCATTTTCCGCGCGTGGCTTGCGGTAAACGCGACTTGCCACTGGCGGAAAATATGACTCGAAGACAAGCGCGCTACGGGCACTCATGCCGCACCCCCCCCCCGGCCCCCCCTCTCGAACACAAACGCGCGGCCCTCCCCCCACCCGCACAGGTTGTTGTACGGCGGCGCCGCGCAAGTTAGTTCCTGAAGGAATCAGAAGCAGGATAATTTTTCCCATTGCGTTTGGAGAGGGTTCTGTTTCCCTTTTGCAGCTTTTTCTTGGTTTGCGTTTCAATTGAAATTCACAAAAATGCAATTTTTTGTTGTGTGGTTCCACTGGAGGTTCGGGTGTGTTTGGTTTATTTTTTTTGGCTGTTCCCAGAGTTTGGCGGTTTGTCCAGCCATTTGGGCGACGCAAGTTTTTTGGGGGGTTCCACGGGACAGTGGGCGTAATCGAAAAAGCGGCCCGCTGTTTTTGACCTCTATTTTACCTCTTGGTTTCTGGGTTCAACAAAACGCTCTCCACCCCTCTCAAAGTCAGCTACCAACAACGCCCGCGGGAAATCAAGTTGGACCCCCTTAAAGTCAGGTTTCTACACTTCTGGGAGGTCTCTGTTTAAATGACAGAAGGTAATTACCCCGTTATGTGCAAGTGAGCCAGAAGCATGTTGCTTGGATATGTTTTCCGCAGGACAGGCGCCCGAAAATCTGTTGACCGCTGTAAGCTACCCTCCGGTAGAGTCGAGGAGCTTGTGAGGAGCTTGTAGTGGAACCCTATCTGAATTTCAATGGGGAACCGCCTCCAAAGCGGTTCGTGGACATGCATCCCCATCTAAATGATGACCACAAGGTCCCCTAGTAAAATCCACTGCTATATATATATATAAGCCTTTGTGACTATGTTGGTCGAAGCAAACAGCAATGGCATATGGCAGCTCAGTTGTCTTGAGGGAGCCATTTGGCGTACTTCTTCCATTCTTTACTTTGCAGGTGTCCTTCTTTTCAGCCCCTTTGCTTTTTGACTTCCTAGGGTTTAGTGGGGGTTTCCATTTCACCCACTAAGAGTTATTCACTTTCAGCAGTGGATCTGAGGATAGTGTTTCAACGGTTGCCGAAAACACCCCCAAGCCGATTGTCTCAGGGTCTCCTTGAGCATATTTTGCAATCTGAGCATTTGCGCTTGTGCGATTTTTGAGGGACCCCCCCAAACAAAAAAACATACAAGGAAATAAGTAAACAGATACATAAATAAATAAAACATGAATAAACATAAATAAGCACATAAAGCATGAATAATCATACATACATAAATAAATGAATAAATGAATGAAGAGAGTAATTGTCCACCTTCTTAAGGAGCCAGACACCTCACAAGTGGTTGGGCATGAATCCCCACCGAATTGTGATGCGCGCCAAAGGGCCAACCACTTTAAACAAACACAAATACACCCATTGTTCTTTTTGGTGTACCCCTACTTGGGCTTGAGAAAGCTGGCAGGTCTGGTTCGACGACCTTATGGCTCGGGACAATGACAGCAGGTCCACGCCCAGCGTGGACCTGCCTCTTGGCAAGCCCTCGACTGGATCCCCCCATGGTTCGAAACCAATGGTACCATTTTGGGATAGGTGCACCACCCATTTTAGTCTATAGGGGATGTTCACTGGGGGTAAGGGGTTTTGACCCATGGCCACATCGCTGGTCTTTGGTGTGACCCCCAAGACCCCTGAAGAACCTTCTGGAAACAATATGGCTTGAGCATGTCCACCTACAAAAAGGCGATCGACCTTTGCTCAAGGAGGGGAGAGGAGCACGGAAAAGGGGGTCATTCCTGTTTTGTTTACCTTTAACCACCAACAAAGTGGGGTCCACTGTTATGAGACCTCAAATTCACTTTCAAGGGGGACCCAGTTCGTTTCTTTCACTTCCCGACCTGTTTTGGTGCCCCGAAGCCCAAAGTAAACTTGTCGCGGGCAAAACAACAGGCTTGGGCTTGGCAAATCATACTGGAAGATCCCCAACTTGGAGAACAACTGAAGGGGGGGTGCTTTCCCAGTGCTCCTAGCTTCATTTGATGACCCAAACCGGCTAAACAATGGGTTCGGTTCCCGTTTCTACCTTGCCAGGGTCTGTAGAGGAATCCTCAACATCCCCCACTGCTGAGTGTTTCGCCTGGGGCCTGCCCCCCAGTTTTTTCAGATGCTTCGCTTTGAAAGGATCGGGCAAGAGAAGAAACATTTGCCTTTGTTGGATGGCCAGTGAAATCCAACCAATAAAAGGAGGCACCAGTGCTTTTCTTTCAACCGCCGACCCGCCTTGCTTGTTTGACCCCCGTTCCAATTTTGGGTTTCTGTGTATCGGTCCCGATGAAAGCATGGCGGGCTCCTGGTCGATTTGGTTTGGTTGCTTTGACACAGTCGCACCTGGATCTTGAAGGTCTGCGGCCAAAAGTTGGCAAAAGCCGGCAGCGGGCGTTCGGTTTCTTGCATGCAGGTTACTGTGAGGCCTAAGATAGATGGGGGAGAGCCTGGGTTTCCAGTCTGTAGTACATGGATATATATATAATATTATACAATATTATATAGTATTACATAATATTATAATATATATATATAGAAATAATATTATATATACGGCAAAACCGCTGTACCCGCCCACTGACCCAGGAAAATTCTGCTCTGCACCTCTCCCCTGAACAGCCATAGGTGTCCTTTTCGTTTGATTTGGTTTGAAAAATAAAGGGCCCTGGTCTACCTGGTGGTTCAATCAAACACCAGGGTGCCCTATGCGAACAGCACTTCCCCCCTGCACGCCTTGCAAAAGGATTCGCTTGCGCTTCTTCCCGCCCAAGGTACGTGGCGGGGTTCCCGTGCCAATCCTTCAGCGCGGCGGGGCTGGGCTTGGGCTTCAACGACAAGCGCGGGGAGGCAGGGAATTTTCGCCTCCCGTTGTTTTTTGTTTCTGGGGAACCCCGATTTGGTGGGGCCAAAAGAACGCCCTGGCTGTTGTGAGGATGGGGTTGAGTCAAAGGCAGTCAGAGAAAGTTGTTGGTGTTTGGTTTCACTTCAACGTGACACCCTTGGGAAATCCCCTTTCAGTTATGGCCATGGCGTAGCAGCCCCATGCCAAGTCAGCTGAGCATGGGTTCCAGGGTCCCCCCAAAAATACTACGACACGGGTTGCAGAGGGAGCAGCGGCCCATGATCGCCCAAGACAAATCGGGGGCTTTGCGAGGCATGGGCGGCTTGAGGTCCGTGTTGGGAGCCCTGCTTGACGGAAGGGAGCGCCAGACAGCCGCGTTCGGATCTCGGAAGCGGGATCCTTGTCAGGGAATGGACGCGATTGCGCTCTTTGGGAGGCACTTCCCGCAGCATGGAACCCGAACAAAGGGGGCCTCAATTTCCCGGAAGGAGTCTCTGCGCACAATTGTTCTTTCCTTCTTTCGGTCATCTGAGCTTCAGTGTCCACCTGTTTTCGTTTTACTTTTGGAGGCCCCTCCCCTGGTTGTTTCCACTTTTGGGCCTTCTGTTTCAGCTTTGCTTACGAGAGGTCACCTTGAAAGAGGGTGGTACCAAGGTTGGGCCAAGCTTGTTCGAACAATCTCACCTTGGTGCCGTTTGAAGGGAAACCCAAAGCAGGCTGTTTCAACAACGACAATTCAAGCACGCTTACACGGGTCTGAATCGCCCAACCTTGGAAACCCTCTTGAAAGGGCTATACTTCCAAAAGGAGAAGTCCAAAAGGTGAGACAAAAGCTAGACCTTCTAGGTTTCAATCCTGATCTCAGACCTGCTTCCAGTTCCCCTTCAAACCTGACCTGCGGTTTCGAAAGCCCAAGCCTGGTACCGGAAGCTGTGAATTCGGGGTGGGGAGTCTCGAGGTCTTCTTCGGATGCGCCTCCTACATCGAAGCCAAGCGACCGCGGGTCTTCGTGCTGGAGAACGTGAAGGCGGGTGTTGGAAGCTTCGGCCCGTCCCTGTTGTCCGGCTTTTGGGGATGGTTGGTCAGTTTTGAGGGTTGTTTAATTGGCAAAATCTGAGGGTGGTAGGTCGGTGGGTAGGTAGGTAAGTGGGTGGGTAGGTAGGTCGGCAGGCAACGTTTGAGGGTTGATTGGCAAAGTCTGAGGGTTGGTTAGTTGTTTGGGTATTTTGACAGGTCTCCTTGATAATGGAGGCAAATCCTGGTCACTGCAGGTAAGGGACCGGAGAGGGGACCAGGTTGGGCCCTCCAGATTCGGGATTTCCGCGAAGGACCTTGCGGTTTTGTGTGTGTGTGTGTGTGTTCTTTTTGACACAAGAAATCGGCTAGCCGTTCTTTTTGATTTCTGAAATGGCAACCCTTGACACTATGAAAGGAGTTAGTATTGGCAAAAGTATTATCAATAGCTTTGGCAACTTAAGTGACGCTTTTGAGTATTTTTGGGGATTGAGCCGAACAGGGAGGTCTTTAATCAGAGGGGGTTCTGGGAGATGCCAAACAATTGTTCAGAGCTTTCTTTTGGCCATTCTTGTGGGCGCCGTCAAAGTAGTATTGTCTGGCAGTCGGCAGGGAAAACCGACTTGTTTCAAAAGGGCCAGGGGCCCATGCGTCGATCACGCCCTTGGAAACAGAGGTGTCCTTTTTAGGTTGGTTTGCGCTAAACAAATTTGGCACCGGCTTGGATTGGTTTTATTCCATTTACCGGGGCCATCTATCTTTCCAAACGGCCACCTATGCTTGGAAACATATTTATGTATGCAAAGGCGGTGGGCCTTTTCAGGACTTCCAGTTCGGCATGGATTCGCTTCCGGTCGGCGCGTTTGACAGTACTCCAAGGTGTCAAGTTACGGATGTGTGTGTGTGCGAGCCGGAACGTGATCGTTCGGGTGTGTGACTTGCATTGCCCGTTCTGCGAGCTACATCTCATTGACCACATCCCGGATTTGCGTGTGGTTCATCTTTGGGCTCACTTGCCTGTTTGGCTTTTCCATGTTGGCAACCATATGGGTGTGTGTTTTGTGAGGGTGCCCTTTGTTGAGGAGACCAACGAGCCTTTAATACCACTGAAGACAGCGAAGCTCAGCAACGCAAACCAGTCGCTTTCGGCGTTTGAGCTCTGTTTGTGTTTTGGATAGCCACATTTCTTTGGGTTTTGGCCGATTGGGATGTTCACTGGGGGCTAACCGAGGTTTGGAACAATCATGATCAGTCATGATCAGGCCATCTTGACCAACGACGGGGGGGACACCTTCAAGACGGTGATGTCCACCTTGAAGCAGATCGGATCCGGCGCCTACCACGTGAGCCACAAGGTGCTGGACACCCAGGACGCCGGCTCCTTTTTTGGCCGGGTTTCGGACGTGGCTTGGAACCCGAACTTGTGCGTCTCCAGTTTTTTTTCTTCTTCTTTTTTTAATTAAAATTTGTTTGGGTAGACTTCGGGAACAAACTGGGGTTTGGTCTACTTGACTTCCCAAGCCTTGTTAGGAAGTCAAGCTTTGCTCCCGGGAAGATTTCAAGGTAGACTTCCCTGCGGTTCTGCTTGGGACGTGAGCAACTGGGTTTAAGTCGGGTAGTCAAAAGGGTTTCCCTTTAACAAGCACCTAACAGGTGTGCTACCACCACATGATCTGGCATCTCTGCTGAAATGAGGTCGTGTTTGAAGGTTCACTGAGTGTGGACTGGAATCGATATGCATATTATAATGTGTACTGTATGATCTGTATGTATATATAATCATGCAATTATACAATACGCATTTGGTTGGGGGGTAAGAGCTGAGGTAGATTTGGGCTAGTTCTGCCAGGTCCTTCGGTTGCAAGTGAAAGCTAGATCGCTTGCCGCGCTTCCCGCCACACAAAGTCGTTGATTCAGTTGGCTCTCATCAAAGCAGCTGTTGCGCGGAGGGACACACAAAGTCAGAGCAACATGGTGTCTCGTTCTTGGGGTGGGGTGGTTTTCCAGCGAACCAAACAAGAAAGAGCACGTGTCAGGCGTCGGCGGTAAGGGTGAGCCCAGGTCGCTGGTTGCGTTTAGTTGATGTCCCACCAGTGAAAACCAACACGCCCAACATGTGTTTTGTGGTTTTCCTAAATGCTCCCTTTGACAGAATGCCCTCGCAAACATACAACCACTTCGGATCAAAACAAAGTGGCTTTTGGTCAGTAGGGAAATTGTCGCTTCAAGCTCGTCAGCACACTGGCAGTAAGGACTGGGTTCTCGCCGGACCATAGATCAAGTTAGATCAAGTTCAAGGCTCATGCAAGGCCATAGGAGAGTTGTTCAATATGAAAGGGTCCCATTACCCTTTCTTTCTTTGCTTTGCATCAGGGTGTCTGAAAATTGAACAATTCCATATAAACGTGGATAAGTTCAGGGAATGACGAATCCAAAATGAGGGAATGCATTGTGCTATCTACTTTGGCCACGGGTCAAAATCCCGTACCCCCAGTCCTACCCCAAAATAGTACCATTGGTGTTGACCCACAGCCCGTGTCCAAAGGCGCCACGATTGACCCCTTTGATTGGGAACATGTGCTCCAGGCATTGAGAAGTGAACATTAAATGGGATGACGTTTAAACTCACAGGTTCAAGACATACTCGCAACTAGCCCGTCCAGGTGGGGTGTTATCTAGGTTTCCTTTTAACATTTTCCCAGAAAAGCTTCACATCCACATGTGCACCCTGGTGGGATGGTCATAGACTCCCCTGCTTCGGGGAATTCGGACAGCGAGAGCTTGACCATGGTTTCTTCCTTGTGTCGGAACTTCAAAACGGGATTTCGGCTTCCTTCCGATCCCTGTAAAACCCACATAAACCAACCTAAAAGGGCACCAGCTCCAAAGCAAGGGAGCTACACTGATAATGTCGAATCTGGCCATCCCAACTTGTCCCAAGCCGGTGGTTTGCTTTCGGCTTCCTTTCCTTTCCACCGCCCTATCGGGGCCCTTGCGTCTCTCTCACGTCGCAGGACCACGGGGTTCCGCAGAGCCGGAAACGGGTGTACTTTGTGGGCATTCGCAAGGACCGAGTTTTCAGCGAGAGACGCGCCCCTTTTTGAGGGTATGGGGTGTGTCTTTCTTAGCTGTACTGCTATTGGGTTGGATCTTTAGACTTTAGCTTTTTTTTGAGACCCCTCATATTTCCTTTTGACCAGCAAAAAGTTATATATTTTTTGCTGGGGGCTCCAGAGCACCCAACTTAGGGCACTGTGACCAAGGCACGTGTCAGGTCTCTTCGAAACCTACCAAGCAAGAGACCCCGGAAATGCCAGGGGCCTGAGGTTTGCAGTTCGGGATTCCCCGACACACTCGGGGAGCGGCCGGTTGAATGACCTATGTGTCTCAAAATAGGGAACCCCCAAATAACTGTTTCCTGTCCCGACCGAACTGCCAGGGGGGCAAGGAGGGGAACAACGTAATATTTCTCCAACTGTGATACCAGGGGACCTCGCCCTTCTAAGAAGGGCTCATGGGGACTCGAGACGGTCAACAAGCAGTATCAGAGAAATGCGCAGCTCCATCAACCTTACGCAAACGCTGTATGATGGGCACTCCGTTGAGCTATAGCTCCCTTGGTTTGCTTTTTCAGGACACCGTAGGTGCCATGTTCAACCAAAACTATTGTTTGATTCCCATCGAACGGAGAAGAGAACGATGACTCTGGCCTATATCCAGGACAAATCTTAGGGATTGTACGTCACCTGTAGGCCACCTCTATACATGTTTTCTGTTGGTGACTTTCATACATTAGCCCATATAGTAAGCCGAATGATCATTTTCCCGTGGTCGGATTCTGCGGCACTTGAGCCTTGAGCGAGTTGTTGGTGGGCCTGGATCCCGAGGACAGGACGGAAGGAATTGGACAGGGCCCACACCAAAAGTTGGGGCTGCCTCTAAGTCACATGAGGCAAACGGGTTAAGTGCGTATTTTGGCAAGGGACAGTCCCAACCCGAAAAACAAGAAGTTGCAGATCTCTTTTTCCCTAGTTCTTAACATGGGGTGGGTGGACCACTTTAATGCCAGGTTTTCATGACGTGACCCTTCGCCTCCAGTACTGAGATTTTGAGAAGTCGAAGGCTTCGACACTCGCGCAAATATCGACTTGGTATTGATTTCGGCGTCTGGAGTAACGGTGCCTGAACACGCCTGGTGGTATGGAAGCCAGAACACATAGAAATGATAATCAATTCCATCTCCAAAGCCCAGAGCGGTTGCGCTCTGATGTTTGGTCAACTTGCAATGGGATGTCGGATTCCCGGATTTGAAGTAGGCCTTAGTCCTTCTTCCCACCATTTTCATGATCTGCTATTACGTATGCATGTTGACTCCACCCTATGCTTGTTAATTCTTCTTCTTTTGTGGGTACCTCTTGCCGGTTGGTTTTAAGGTCTTTTTCTTTTTGCCGTGGGTATGCCGTTTTTTGGTTGGCTTTAAAGGCACACCGAGAGGAGCCGCCGCCTTCCCCCCCCCCCCAACGCCTCCCCCCAACGCCTCGCCAGAACACGGTGCCCGCGGGCTTCCAGGGCTTCGAGTGGCCGGAGGAGTGGAACCGGGGCGCAAGGGGTCCCTGATGTTTGTTTTTTGTTTTTTTGAATGGCTGGGGGTTTGAGGGGTACAAACCAAGGTTGGGGGTTGGTAGGTTGGGGGTTGGTAGGTTGGGGGTTGGTAGGTTGGGGGTTGGTAGGTTGGGGGTTGGTAGGTTGGGGGTTGGGTTGGTAGGTTGGGGGGTAACCAAGAAGCTTTGGGGGTAGTTTGAGGGTACAAGCGAATGGTTGGGGGTAGGTTTGAGGGGTACAAACGAATGGGCGCGGGGTAGTTTGAGGGTACAAACGAATGGGGGGGGGGGTAGGTTTGCGGGGTACAAACCAAGGTTTGGGCGTTGGGGGTAGTTTGGGGGGCAACCAAGAAGCTTTGGGGGTGGTTGGGGGTTTTCAAGGTCTTTTGGAACGGCCTGCTTTGAGCTTCCTTGGGGCGATGTTTTTCGGGGCATATTTTTTCGGGCTTCGTCGAGAACGGCCGTGATTTTCAGGATCCCCCCCCTTTCGCCCCCTCCAAAATGGTGGCTTCCTCTTAGTTTCCCCTTAAAACCACAAACAAGTGGGGCACCCTTGGGCCCGTGCCCGTGGGCCCGTGCGCCCGTGGGCTTTGCACACGTGGGCCCATGGGCTTTGCACAGGCTGAAGTCACGCCGCACTAGCCGCAGGTCTGAATCTTGGAAGAATCCAGGGGGGTCCTTTTTTGCCACCTTTGGCGGAAAAATGATCGACCCCCTTGTGAAGGATTCCCTTTTTGAGGGGGTCGCCAATTTTGCCAGAAAAAGGTGGCAAAAAGACCCCCGCGATCCAGCAAGTCTGACCATCCCAAGAGTACCGACCCCACGAGGAGCTGCCCAGGGTGTCCATCGAGCCCTTCCTGAATCGCAGGAGGAAGGTGCCGACCATGAAGGACTGGTCCGTTTGATGGAATCAAACATGCCATGTCTGGTGGGTGAAATACACTGTAATCAAGGATCGACATGTCATCAGTGAGTGTGTGTGTGTGTGTGTGTCCCTTTTTGGTGCGTATGAAGCCATGTCTGGTGGTTGAAGAGATACAATATTATAAGCAAGGATCAGCATGTCATCAGAGTTGGTTTTTTTTTTCTTGTGTGTGTCCCTCTTTGGTGGTGTGGAGAGTCTCTGAAAGGCTGGGGAAACACGAGAGGGGATGTCTAGAGTTCTCGTGTTTTTGAATGGTTTCAACATCAGCCTTTGGGCCCATGTTGATTGGGCTCTTCTTTGGTTCCGCGATGATAGACCGGGATCTCGGCACCTTTAGCTTCCACCTCCCAGACCCTGGAAACCATAAGCAGCGAACGAGGGAACGTCCCCTGTGTTCTGATGCTTTCCCATTCTCCACTCCCACCCCCCACTCCCCACAAAACAAAGCCCGAAAAGACCTCCCCCTCAAAACCGCCCGAACTCATGAAACGCCCCTCCCACCTGGCCCACCCCCCCTCAAAAAAAAAATCAAATCCGGAGACGAGGTTTGGTTTCCGAGGCGCCAAACACCTCGACTCGCCCTCTCGCCAGGACCTGCCGAAGAAGGGAGGTGTGACCGCCCGCTCCGGCGCGAAGGAGGTTCTGCAGCAGCTGAAGCGGGAGGGAAAGGACTCGGATCTGCTGCGGGGCAATGGGCCACGGGATGACTCTGGGCGAGGGAAAACGCCATGCCCCCTTTTTTGACTTGCCGGATTCCCAAGCCCATCCCAAACACATATCCCACGAAAACGCTGACAGGAGGCCCTTTGGAACAGTCCTTGACCCCCCTTCAGGTTCCATGCTCATGCGCAGAGTTACAAAAGATCAGAAGGTCAGTACGAGTCTTTCCAGAAACCACGAAATAACTTGCTGTTGCTCTGGGGAATGCGGGATATGTCCCAAGTTGGATTCCCATCCTTATGACTGTATCACATTCAACGTGATCCCAACTTGGTATCACAGAACATGCTTGCCAAAGAACCTCGGTGCCTTTTAAAAATAGGGGACCCCTCAGAATGGTTGGCTTCCCTTTGTTTTCCCTTCAAAGGGGCATTCTCAAAAAAAGACACACCCACTTCCAAGCAAAATGGGTATTCAGCAGTTGCCCCGAAAGGTTGCCTTTTCACGCTTGAGTTCTCGCAGGCATTTGAACATTGAACATGGCTCATGCTTACTCACAACTAATCAACCCCCAAGTTGTTCATCAGGGGGGGGGTCCTTCTGGAAGAAAGGAATCCCCACTAAACAGGGACCCCCCCCCTCAATACTAAGTTGGTGGGCGTTAATCAGAAATTGTCAAGCAAGCCAACCATTTGGGGGGTGCCTGGTGTCGACAGGCACATCCGCCTATATCAACCCTCCTCACCCCTTCACTCATTGCTGGTTGAGTGTTGCCTATGGGCCTTCATTCATACCCCTCCCCCGTATTCCCTTTACACTAGATGAAGCCAAATGACTGTCTTCTTACCTTTTCCCCTCCTCTTCCCCTTGCACGGTCATTTGTCGAAATTGTTGGAAGAACTACTTGAGATGCAAGGTTTCCAGCTGTAGTTGACCTTTTCCCCTGGATCCTGCTGAAAAAGACATGCGCCAAACAAACTCAGCGAATGGTTAATGTGGTTTCTCAAAAGTTGAGTGGGTGAAGCAAATCTGGGATCAACCTCACATGTGGAACAAGTATTGGGGCTACATTTCGGGCTCGCTTCATCATAAAGGGACACCCCGTTTCCTGAAGCGCAAAAGCGAGCCAGCAACCGAGGCCCACCGATATTGGAGGCCTGCAACATTGGCATCGGCGTATTCCATAACCCCCCTTTGACTGGCTGGTTTTTGGGAAGCCCTGGCTAGCCCAAGACAGCGACAGGTGCCAGTTTCCAGCACCATGCTTGTTTCAGCTTTGGACAAAGGCACATCGTCTGGGTGTATCTCAAACCGTACCCTCAGTGAACATCCCAATCCCCACTAAAATAGGTTCTAAAATGGGTGGTGCACTTACCCCAACATGGGATGCCATTGGCTTTGACAACCACAGCCACATCTCGGCCGGCTTCAGGACCCTTTGAACAAGACCTACATCATCGACATCGACGCCAGCGCGAGGTACCGCAACTTCATGCGCGCGGCCCGGCCTGATTGGTCCGATGGGCAAGCTTCTTTTCGGGGGCTTGACTGAAGGGGTATAGGCAAAAGTGAGGCTAAACCTGTGGAACAAAGAGACTCTTCATTTTAGGTGTCAGCTCTCTGCTTTTCGTGGTGCGCGCTTGTTTGTTTTCTTGTTTGTTTGTTTGTTTGTTTGTTTTGTTTTGTTTTGTTTGTTTCTTTCTTTCTTTCTTTCTTTGTTTATTTATTTCTTTATTTTTTTTGTTTCTTTGTGCGTGCGTGTGTGAGTGGGTGGGTGCTGGGATGACTCCGCAGATGTCGCTTTGTCATTAGTTTTCCTGTTTTATGAACGCAGAGATGCATGGGATGCCGGACCTGTGTGAGGTTCATTATTCATGACCTATAGAGAACTCACTGACCCGGGGGCAAAAAGAACTCTCCCATGAAGGTCCGTTTGGATATTTCGTTATTCTCCCTCCCACTAAGATACCACCCTGTAAACTCTCAGGAAATTGATCTTTCAGGTACCTTCTAGGCGCAATGTTAAGAGGCAAGCTGAGATATTACTTCATCCCAGAGTTGCTCATAGAGGTGACCCAGCCTTTTCCAAGCTTGGGAGCTGCCAGGAATGAACAGGGCCGCCTAGAAATCTTCTGGGAAGCCACTTAGTAACTAGGTTGTACCCATGGCTAAAAGGCGGTTGGACCCTATGAACGAGGTGTGTTGAGCACCGTGGAGCACTGAACTGAAGCTGATGCATGTTGTTTGTGGGACCTTTCTTCACTTTGAGCTTGTTGCTTGCGCATGAGGGCATTTGTTCGCCAGCCGAAAAGTGTCCTGTTGGGCAGAGGCAGAGGGCAATGCGTCAGCTTGCTCCTTCAAACTCCAAGCGGTCAGTCTTTTTAAGGCCCAGTAGAGAAATGTTTAAACAGACATATAGTTCCCAGGGATTTGGCGGAGACACGACTTTTTCTTGAATTCCTCAATGGGTATCGTGAGTATCACCCATTTGTTTCTTCCTTCTAATCAGAACATGTTTTGTGAATTTTGCTTTGAGGTCTGGAGGTAAATGACGCCTACGTACTACTCTGCAGGGGTCAAAGAAGTTTAGACTGTTATTCTAGTCAGGGATGAGGGAGCAAATCTGAGGGGGGCGTAATGAATGTGCCACAAACACCAGGCACCCTATCTCTTAAAAAATCCGGACTTGCCTCAATCCCCCCCTCCCACTAATATGGCACCTGACAGAGGGTGCCTTGAAGAAATCGACCTTCCAGGTACCCTCCTCTGTTAGTGGTAAGGACAATTCCTCCACCAATGCCAACTTGCTGTGGTGCTCGGGGAATGACCTTCCGGGTTTTGGGAATGAACCGCTTGGGATTCCCAAGGAATTCCATGTCTCATTGCCTCTCGAACCAGGCTAAACTCCCCAACCCCCTTCCAACACCCCACCCTCAACCCCACCCCCAACCCCACCCACCCCACCCCACCCCCTCACTCCCCACCGCCCACCCCCCCAACCCCCCCACCCAGCCCCACCCATGCCAACAGCGGGAAGAAACCAAGAACACAACGCTCCGAGGACCGGTGCCCCTGCATGACCAAGAGCCGCGCCGCCGGGTACTGGATCTCCTCCCGGGCCCGGCGCATGAGCCTGGAGGAGATGCTGCGGTGCCAGGGCATGGAGCCCGGCTGCTTCAAGCAGGCCGTGGGTTTTAACAAACGGGGGGGGGGGGAAGGGCGGGGGGGCGGGGCTTTTTTTTGTGCCTTGCTGCTGTTTTTGGTGTGGTTTGCCTTTTGTTTGTTTGTTTGTTTCTCCCCCCTCCTTGCTGGTCCGTTTTTAGTTGTATTTGTCTTGTGGCTGTTGTTTTGTCTTTTTGTCTGCTTCTGTCTTTGAGTTTGGTAGTCATGTGTTGATTTCCCACTGGTCTGCGGTTGGGGATGGCATGGACAGCCCAAGTTTCCCTGGAAACAAGGGGCCCGAGTTTCCCATGCCTCATTCTGGGAACCCAAGGAAGACCTCGTTTCTTGGCGGTTCGCAACCCATGCAGGCACCTGGGCGTTGCTTTTTTTTCTTCGGAGTTTGGAGGCCAGAGATCAACGAACCACAGATGATTCAGACAGCTCGAAGCCCAAAGGAAGGCATCCCTGAGGAAGGGCTGGGTTCAGCCACCAAGTGTTGGATGTGTTTGGAAGGCAGCCACACGTCGATCTGTTTGCTTTCAACACCTGCCTCTGGCCTGATTCGTCCCTTTCTGCAGGGTTTCACTGGTGGTTTGGAACATCCTCTTTGAGCGTGTCAAGTGGGTCGGCAACGTTTTGGGGTTGGACCTCAAAGGGCCGCCCCGGGAAACCCGGTCGCGCGCACCCAACAGCTGGCCCCAGCTCCCCCCCCCCTCCTCCTCCTCCTCCTCCTCCTCCTTTCGCTAGGTGGTGAGCGACCGGGCCATCGGCGCCCAGATCGGCAACGCCATGTCGCAGAATATCTTGGAGCGGCTCTTTCTCAAGCTGCTTCCCCTGGCGGGCCTGGTCCCTGCGAGCCAGGCCAGCCGGGGGGGGGAAGGGGGAGGCAGGGCGCCAGGGCCGTGGCGCCGCGTCGGTCGGATGGGGACGCCTGGAGCTTGGAACGCAAAGAAGCGAGCGGGCAATCAAGGGCATGGGATGGAAAGGTGAAGGGGTTGGCAAGTGAAGCGTGTTAAACATCGGAAAGGTCCCGCTTTTCAGGTGGTTGTAGACGTCAGGGAGAACCCTATTTTCGGAAACATGCTGCAGGCTTTGGTGGGAAGAGAGCCAACGACAACTGAAATGGAGCGCGCGCGCGCACGTAGTACAAAGGGGGCCTGAACCACTCAACTCTGGTGGGATAAGATTAAGCACATCATCTTGGGACGCATGTGTGTAGTTCTTCGGCCTATGGTTGACCTGCACCTTTGAGTTCCCCCTGAAGTTTTTTTGAAGTGCTTCCAGGACTGTGCCTTTCTTGCGAGCCTCGGTGCCCTTTGCGGGATGTTTGAAAAGCCCAAAGGACACCACCCATGTCTCGATTGCTATTGGGTTGGATCTTTAGACTTGAAGGTTTTGGGAAATCAAGGGCTGTCCATTCAACCCACACGCAGAGGGGTCAAGAGCAAGCAAGATGTGGGTCCATCATTTCGATGCACACTCGGCAAGACACCATCCTTGCTGGCAGCTTGGTTTTGGCTAGATTCTGGTTTGGTGTGTGCGGGAAGCCACCTGACCGACGGAAACATCACGTGGAGCTTCGATGCTCGAAGCTCGCTTCCGGCGTCCGCGGGCTTGAGAAGAGTTACTCTGCACAAAGAGTTGCAACTTTTGGCCAAGGATCCAGCACAGGAACTGTCTCCCATTTGGTCTATACCTTTGAAACCTTAGGTTCCCACACATTTTGGCTGGATGGTTTGGTTGCCGGTACCCAGAAAATCAGGAGCGACTGCCACACCAAGCAGAAGCGCTCCAAAAGGGTATCCGCAATCAGACACCAACCCTCAGGTTTTTGGTTGTTTGGATTGGTTGGGGGGTTGAGCCCAGGTTTTTGGTAGAGGGATGGGAAACCACCCCCCCAAAGCGAACGCGCTTTTGGCGCGGCAGGCGCTCAAGGATCGCTTCAAAAGCCGGGCGATGATGCTCCCCAGGAGCAAAGTGGAGGAGCTGAACGCGGGGGAAACGAGCAAGCGAATGAGTTGGATGGTGCTTGGCTGCGTATATATATATATATATATACACATACATTTATAATTTTATATTGCACATATATGTATATATATATATATGTACACATACACTGAAAATCTCCGATGTATGGCCTCTACTTTTCCAGTGAGTTTGGGTTTGCTTTGGGGGGGGGGGAGAAGGTTGGGGGGGGGGGAGAAGGTTGGGGGGGGGGGGTAAGGGCAGCCATAGGTAAATCCTTAACAGCCAAAAGGCAGATTGTATTTGTTCTGGGTGCGATGTATGTATCAGGAAACCTGCGAGTGGTTGGAATGAAGTTGGACCTCCCACTTTCAGAGATTCAGGGGCTAAAGGCTCTGATCGGATTTGCCCCTAGATTTCCTCCCTACAACAAACGACAGGACGGGAAAAGAACCACCACCCATATCTCCACGGGTCAGCGGCGGTCAGGCGTTATCGGCGACACGACTCGCGAGTGGAAAGCAAACTTGGATGTCACTCCAGTGAGTCTCGGGCTGGTAAACGGGTCTGCTCCAAAGAATCCAGAGGCCGGACATCCGCACTTGAAGTTTCGCCTGGGCCTGTGACTCTGGGGCTCAACGTAGTTTCAGAAAATCATGGGCCTTCCTTCTGTTGAAATCAACAGCGAGGAGCCAAAGACCGGCAAGCGCGCCCTGGAGAAGGCGCCAAAGGACGGGATGTCGTGGCAGGGGGCTGCAGGTTTTAGTACCAGGGCAGCCCATTTTGGCTACCCATTTTGACCCACAGCCAAATGATGGACAGTTTTCCTGGGGTGCGTGCCAAGCGTCCTTTTCGGAGTAGGTTGACCAAGTCGGCCCTTCTCCGAATCCATATTCTCATAAGTACCCGAGTTCGGGCGTCACAAATTTCAAACGGTGGTGAAGGGGAAATATAGGAAACCCTGTTTTGGAAAGGCCAAGTTCAGTTGTTCTTCTCTGATATGTTTTGGGTTGGACATGTTATCGGATGCTGTCTTGAGCAAATCCACGGGGGTTGCACTTCCAGAAATCGCCCAACCCGGACCTTTTGTTCGCTCAGTTTGGAAACCCATTTTTGCGAAGGTTCCAGAAGGAAACACATTTTTCTACTAGCTTGGGTGTGTTGACTCAAGGGTGGGGAGTTGTTGTTTCTTGTTGTTGCAGGTTCGTAGGTTCCGGGGAAGGTCAGGGTTTCGGCAGAATTCGGGGAGGGGTGAGGTAGGGGGGTGATTCGGATTCCTCTAGGAGCTTTGCCAAGCTTGTCGGGCGAAAACACACTGTTCCAAATGGGAATGGTCAACGGTTTAAAGGACTTGTTTGGAGAATGTGAGAAGATATTGTAGAGGATAGTAGAGGATAGGCCACGAAATACGAAGATCTCATGCTCTGTTGATTGAGTCTGAAGGTTGGAAGGTTGGAGCTATGTTCCGGTTCCGTTGCAACCTGTTTCGACACCGTCGACTGCAAACCTGGCAGGACAAGGTGACAAAAAAGGTGGGGCTCAAGCGCCGACGGGTGTGAGACTTTGGCTGACTCGGGCCGGCGACTGGTGATGGTAGTGAGGCGTGGTGAGGCCTTGACTACTCAACCGGTCGAAGCCCGGGAGCGGCCAAGCGGGTGACCACAGCTTTGAGGTGCCGCTGGGAGTTAGTGAGGCTGGACATGGAATGCAACAGATTCAGGAGGAAGAGGAGAAACGATCTGCCATCCTCACTAAGATGGGGCGCCGTAGATGCCTGTGTTCGGTGTTTTTTTCGGGCGCAGTGTTTGGGTACTGTGCCAAATTGCTTAGCAGAAGCAGGTTTCGGCTGATCCAAACCGACAGATGCCTCCAGGCATAGCATTCGTCAGCGCATCGATCGAACTCTAAGGCTTTGGGTTTGGCTTTGCTCGAAAGACCTGCGATCCATCGAATCGAATGGCTCAGGGAGATCCTTGCAGCCAGATAATCAGATAGCACGTTCGCATGGGCAACACGGCCCGAAGAGCATTGCCATCAGAGCAAAGCAAAAAGCTTTCTGCCTCGAGATGCAAGCCCAGAGTTTGTGGGTCGGTCCGTGAGTCAAGGCAACCCAACATGTGGCTTGTTTGGAGTTTCCGGCTTCTTTAGCCAAGTGGGACGAATGCGGGCGGCAAGAGGGTATTTCAACGTTTCATCGAGGTGGGCCTGACGTGGGTTTCCCAACTTCTTGGGGCCCTCCTCTTGGGCGCAAGTGTCCTTTTTTTAGTTTGCCTTCCGCAAAATTTAGGGAGGCAAGAGCTGGACACTCTTTGAATGGAGCCTACGTATCAGTCGGGCAAATCTGCGAACACTTCAGACGTGACAAGGCCGCCCAGGGAAAGTGCGGATCGCCCAAATGATGGTTTTTCTTTTTGGTTCCCCTTCAAAGCCACAAAAAAACAACAGCAACACGGGTACCCTCAAAAAAAGACACAAGGGTGCCCTTCTCGGTGGTTTTAAGCGGAGACCAAAGGAAGACCACACTTTGTGGGTCCCCTCAAAACAGACACACCCGTGTGCTTCTTTTCTAAACATTTGCGAGCCCGCGCCAAAAGACGGCTTGCGAATTCAAGCATCATGAAGTACGAAGGCTCTGGTTTCATGATGAATACTGGAATGCAGGTTAAGTAGTGGCAGGGAATCTTCGCCATTTTCCCGCCAGCAAAAGGTTGTTCAGTGTCGGCCCAAACCGGGAATTGAGAAGTGGTCCCCTACAATGGTTGGTGTCCTGGTGTCCTTTTGGTTTCCCTTGACATACCAACTAGGGGATCCTCCATTTTGAGAAGCTCCCTTACATCGTTCCTGATTTTTAGCCAGTTGCTCAGTGGCACCCTCTAGATCCGTGTTTGTTGGCTCGCACAAATTGTCACCAAATTTTTTACGGGCAGAACCTCGTTCCGAACCGTCCCCAGTTTCCATTGATGGCCTTTTCAGGTTAGTTTGGCTAAAAACTGATGGGTTCCACCGGTTTAGATGGGTGTTCTTTCCATTTACCAGGGCCATCTGTTTTTCCAAAAGGTCACCTAAGCCTTTTTGCTCCGATCCCCTGAGAACCCGCGGTTTCGAGAGGCTTCCTTCAGTCTGGGTGAGATGCACCGCAGAGGAGAGGCTGGATGCCGGGGCCGGGCGGTTCAACCCGTAAGAGAACTCCTTAAACAGGGCTCCTTGAAAGATACATTTTGCCCATGACAAGAAAGACGCAGGACGTTGGCGGACGGTTTCCCTTAGTTTCCCTTTGCCAGCATATTGGTGTGTGCCTAAGCCTGAAGATGGGGGCCCTTTTTGAGGGGCAAGGGACTTCCCTGCATAGATCCCCACGTGTCCCCCACACACAAAACACTGAGCACAACGTCTTGGAGTTAAAAATGAAGAGGTTAGTAACGTGATGGCCTAAAGAATTAGAATGCGGTTGTGGGGTACTTTACATAAAGGTCAGAGGTTGGTAACTAAGGGCCTAAACAATAAGAATGTAAGGTTATGTCACAAAGGTCATGAGAACAAGGGTCAACTACTCGTAATGATTTTGCCCGGTGAAACTCAACTGGGCGGTCCTGGAAGTCCACGTTCCTGTATCACGCTTTGGTTTCTTTGTACACCTACCAAAAAGTGCGGAAGGGGGGTTCTGTGTTTTGAGACATGGCCATTGTTTTGCCGTGCAACAACTCCTCAAAAGTGGTTTGTGGACATCTAAATGATCTGAAAAGCTCCTCATTTGAAATTCGCACGGGCGATTTACGGTTGGTCCCTGATGATCCCTCCCCCCCATTAAGGATACCATCTACCTGGGTGTGGGTCAAAAGCTGGGTACACCAAGGACTAAAATTTGCGGTCCCCTTCTGCTCTAGTTTTGACCCATAGCCAAATGATCGCCTTTGCCCAGCAAAAGCCCCAGAGGCGAACCTGGTGCCTGACGCGGTGGCGGCGGTACGCTACTTCCTGCAGGCCTCGCGAGCCGGGACTCGTCGTTCATTGCACCAGTTGGTCTTTGGTCGGTTTTTTTTTTGACTTCTATCGGACTCCCCGAGTTCTTGGACTTGATATTCTTTGAGAACACCATTACCAACAAAAAGGCGATTTTTTGCTTTTCCACGGAAGTGAGGCTGGGATTTGTGGGGATGTGTTTTGACGTTATGTTGCATTGGAAGGTTCTACACTATGGACCAGAATCAAACATACGGTTTGCGATATGGGCAAAAGCAATTCAGGCTTGCTACAGTTTCCGCTCGCAACGGGTTTCTGTTCATCAGGTGAGTTTCCTTTTGGTGCGGCGATGCTTGGGGAAGACATCGGGAACCCTGAAATCAGGGCCATCCAAAGGTGGGGGGGGGAGGTTGTGGAATGGTTTAAGGTGATATTATGCGACAACCATTTGTGGCTGTTTTTGTGCCACTAAGGGACGTGGTTGAAGTCCAACCTATGTGCGTAGACCACCATGTGGCTACAAACGGCTTCCAACGCCTACAAATGGGTGTGTTTTAACATGGTTTCCTTTTCCTTCTACACCACCCCCCCAAAGAGGGAAACACATAAAGAAAAAGTGGTGGTTTTCCTTTTGGCTTCCCTTCAACGCCACAAGCACAGGGACACCCTTTTAAACACATACAGACGCAACTGGGGTTTGCTTCGCCTTGCCCCCTTCCGGAAAAACAAAGAAGCAAAAACGAAAACTTTTTTGGCGCAGGCTGCGGAGGCCGGGCATGCGGAAGCTGCCAACGAGCTGGGGCCCCGGGCGCCCGCGCCATCCTCCGGACGGCGCAGCGGCGCGGATCAATCGGGGCCCAAGGGCGTTTGGACGCGTCAATGTGGCTGTGGGTCAAAGCCAAGCATTTTGGGGTAGGTGAATTCACCACCCATTTTACAACCTATTTTAGTGGGGATTGGGATGTTCATACGATTTGGATTTTGACCCATGGCCATGTGACTTGCGGAATTTTTGCGGAGCTTCGTGCTCCAAGTGGTGCGTGAGACAGAGACGGAGGCGTGAACACGGCACTTGGTTGCCAGCGCTTGGCTCGCTGGCTTCCAAGCACCACATTGAGCGGATTGCTCGGGTTGGATTTTAGACGCTTCCAGACGCTTCCCTTGGGATGGACGAGTTTCAGGTTGCCACTCTTGTGAGCGTTCCAAGGAATCCCCTATGATCAAGAAGTTGTGGCCTCACGGTATCAACCTCGTCGTCCGCTCCCTTGCCGGAGACTGGGGCGCTTTTGTTCTTCAGGCTTCAAGGCAGCGGGTGTTGAAGAGGGGGGGCCTATTTTGTGAACAGGTTGGCTTACACCCACGTGTACCGTCTGGGTTTAAGTCTGCCCTAGTCAAGGCATGGAACCCATGCGAAACCAGTTGAGCGAAGATGCAATCCATAGGCGTCTATCCGGACTTTCGGGGCACGCACTTCCTAAATATATGACGTGTTTGTGAATCTGAAGAGGAAACACAGAAAGCCTGACACCCGTTTGGTACCCTGGCTTCATGTTCCCGCACGCTCATGTTTACTCGGATCGTCGTTTCTCTGCACGTGCTCGGGCTGTGTTTGGATCTGAGATATAATTTTGAGCCCAAATTAGTAAACCCTTGTTTATTAACAGCGGGGTGCTTTTCCCTGGTTTTAGCGGGGATTCATCACTTTTGGAGTGGACTATCCCCATATGAATCCGGGGTCAACATTCATCGAGACCCGAGTAGATGAAGCGGAGTGACAGTTCCATCCTTCGGCCGCCAGCCGCCCTTTTGATTCTTGAAATGATCTTGAGTAGGCCTTCAGTGCTGCACGGATGAGCAGGGTGCAAGCACACACGTGTTTTGTTTTGTGCGAACACAGAGTCGCTTGAGTCGATTCGAGAGCTCAATGCAGCTCGAAGTTTCGATGCATTGTTTTGCCAGCTGCGAACTCCCCGCCTTGGCCAGCTGGAAACCAGGGCACGATCTTGCTTTCCCCCATCAACGACTTTATCTTTAGCAATGGGAGACATCCTTCCAAGCCCATTGAACCCTACTGGGTCTCTTCAAGTGAAAGATTCGAGGCGTTCAATCATACATACTCTTGGGGGGTGGCCTTCATTCAATCCACCTGGAGGCAACATCTTACTCTTCCGGCCCAGCCTTGCCTTTTGCTCTGCGGCGAGCATGTCACCCAGGTTGGGCGTGATGTATCTCACCGGCGAGGGCGCGCCTCCGGACGAGGCGAGGGCTAGGCGGCTGACCTCGCTCTGGCTTCGGTTTTTTGTTTTTGAAGTTTCATCCACCAGACCGCGGGTTTTAGTCCACAGGGCAACCCAGTTTTCAGGGATGGGTTGCCCCATCTTGGGGGGTACCCGATTTTTGACCCGCAGCCCAAGCCTGTTTCGTCGGCCTCCATTGCTTCATGGTTTATGGGCCCCAGAGAAATTCGAGCGAGCTCGTCTTGGGCTTGAAACGAGGGATGCGGATCATGGATTCCTGGCTTGCGGTGGGTGAATCATAGTCACTTGCCCAAACCCGGTGGCCAAGCATTTTGGTTGGAGCAAGACTACTGAGGGAAACGGTTTGACATCAAACAGAGTAGAAAGCAGGGCTCTCTCCAATTGTGGGATAGTCAGGCAATACGTATCCAACAGCAT